TAATCAATTATGTAATCGAAACATTCATTCCGTTAAAAAAATGTCAAAATAATAATAAATTTCCCAGTTGGATAGATAATTCTACTAAATCTTTAATTATACAGAAGAAAATAGCTCATAAGGATTATAAAAAATCTAATTCACATTATGATTACGTAAGATTTGCTCAATTAAGATACGAATGTAAAGAGGCTATTCACAATTGTAGACAATTATATATTGATAAGGTGGAAAATAATATAATATCTAATTCAAAAATGTTTTGGAACTATGTAAAAGCCAATAAACAGAACAGTGGCTTTCCTAAAACAATGTATTATAATGACGTGGAAGCTCATTCTTCATTTGACATAGCTGACTTGTTTGCATCATATTTTCAATCTGTATTTAGTCATCCTGATCCCGATGTTAATTTCTGTGATACTTATTACTGTGATACTGCTTTAGATTTAAATTTTATTCATATCACCTACGATGATATCTTGAAAAAAGTGCAATCTTTTAATAACTCTAGTCACCCAGGACCAGATGGTGTTCCTGCGATCTTTGTTAAAAAATGTCTGCTTTCTCTGATTAATCCACTTCAAATAATGTTCAATAAATCATTGTCTTTATCTGTATTTCCAGATTCTTGGAAAAAGTCCTTTATCTTACCAATATTTAAAAGTGGCTCAAGAAATATTATTAGTAATTATCGCGGTGTCTCTAAATTATCATTTATTCCTAAGATCTTTGATGCAATTGTTGCAGATATTTTATTTGCTAGTGTGAAAGAAACTATTATTACTGAGCAACATGGTTTTTTCAGTGGGAGATCAACTACCACCAATTTATTTCTTTTCACGGAATTTGTTACTAATATGAATGAACTGGGATCGGAAGTTGATTGTATTTTTACTGATATTAGCAAAGCATTCGATTCAGTCAACATTAAACATTTGATGAATAAATTAAAACATTTTGGGATATTTGATCCTTTGTTTGGCTGGATAGAATGCTACTTAACAAATCGTAAGTCGCACGTTGAATTTAATGGCATATTATCTAAATCAATTGATGCATGTTCTGGTGTTCCGCAAGGTTCCCACTTGGGACCTATTCTGTTCTTATTATATGTCAACGATGTAAAATATGTATTTCAAAACAGTCTTTTTCTATTATATGCTGATGACTTGAAATTGTTTAGAGCTATCAATTCTCCCTTTGATTGTATTTTACTTCAAAAAGACCTAGATAAGTTTAAAATGTGGTGTTCAGATAATAGTCTTAAGCTTAACGTACACAAATGTAAATCTATGAGATTCTCTAAAAAAATTGTTAAAGTACCTGAATTCAATTATAATATTTCGGATGTAGTTGTAGAACAAGTAGCATATTTTTGTGACTTGGGTGTAATGTTAGATCCAAAATTAGCCTTTACTCTACATGTTGATAAAATTGTCAATAAAATTAATAAAACCTTGGGATTTGTTCTAAGACAATGTCAGGAGTTTACTAGCCTTCGTGTCTTTTGCATTTTATATAACTCATATGTTCGCTCATTATTAGAGTACTGCTGTATAATTTGGTCACCTTACTATCAGCTCTATATATCTAGACTTGAAAAAATTCAAAGAAAGTTCATTAAATTTTTATGTTTTAAACTAAATGTTATATTTGATAAGAATAATTACGAACTCATAGTTAAATATTTCGGGCTTAGTTTCTTAATAAGTCGTCGCCATTACTTTGATTTGTGCTTTGTTTTTAATGTGTTAAATAACCGTGTAAATTGTTCCGACATTCTTAATATGTTTTCTTTACATGTACCTAATCGCGCCACAAGAGGTTCTCATTTGCTCCAAGTGCCTTTCCATCGCACACTATATGCTCAAAAATCTCCGTTATGCCGCATGGCTAAACTGGCGATGGAGTATAATGATCTGAACTTTTGTGGTGTGTCAATTAATGTTTTTAAGAGGGAGCTGAAGAATGCTTTAAATATGTAAAGTGTAACTATTGTTGTGATTTGTAATGGTATATTTCCGTAAATAAACTATTATTATTATTATTATTATTATTATTAAAATCACAAAATTTTGAAAAATCGATTAAGCAAAAAATAAAAAAAAACAGAAAGTCGAAAAATCTAAAAATTTAAAAATCGAGATACGTATTGGGAAATCCCAAAATTGAAAAATCCCAAAACTTCAACACTGAAAATTTGAAAACCGAAAAATTAAAAAATACATTAATCAAGAAATTGAGAACTCGAAAAATCCAAAAATTTAGAAACAAAAATTGAAAAATCGAAAATATGAGTTTTGAAAAACTGAGAAATCGAGAAATCGAAATCGAAAAATGCAAGATTTAAAAACTCGCAAAATCAAGTAAAAAATAAAAAAAAACAAAGTCGAAAAATCTAAAAATTTTAAAATCGAATTCTAGAAAAATCCCAAAACTTAAACAGAGAAATCGAAAAATCCAAAAATTTAGAAACACCAAAAATTAATTTTACATTAATCCCAAAACTGAAAGGTTGAAAAATTGGAAAATCGAAAAATCGAAAAGATAAAATCTCGTAAAATCAAGTAAAAATCAAAAAAACAAAGTCGAAAAATCTAAAAATTTAAAAATAGAATTCTGGTAAAATCCCAAAATTGGAAAATCCCAAAACTTCAACACTGAAAATTTGAAAACCGAAAAATTAAAAAATACAGTAATAAAGAAATTGAGAACTCGAAAAATCCAAAAATTTAGAAACATAAATTGAAAAATCGAAAAGATGAATTTTGAAAAACTGAGAAATCGAGAAATCGAAATCGAAAAATGCAAGATTTAAAAACTCGCAAAATCAAGTAAAAAATAAAAAAAACAAAGTCGAAAAATCTAAAAATGTTAAAACCGAATTCTAGAAAAATCACAAAACTTAAACACAGAAATCGAAAAATCCAAAAATTTAGAAACACCAAAAATTGAAATACATAAATCCCAAAACTGAAAGGTTGAAAAATTGGAAAATCGAAAAATCGAAAAGATGAATTATTATCGAAAAACTCGAGAAATCGAAATCGAAAAATCGAAAATTTAAAACCACGTAAAATCAAGTAAAAATCAAAAAATCAAAGTCCAAAAATCTAAAAATTTAAAAATAGATTTCTGGTAAAATCCCAAAATTGAAAAATTCCAAAACTTAAACAGAGAAATCGAAAAATTGAGACATCGAAATAGCTAAAGAGCGAAAAATGTGAAAATTTAAAACTGAAAAATTTGAACTTAAAAAACCCGAAAAATCTAAAAATCTAAAAATGAGAAGGCAAAAAACCACAAGACTGAGAAATGGGAAAATTTAAAATTGAAAAATTTAAACTTAAAAGACCCTATAAATCGAAAATTTGGAAAATCAAAATATCGAAAAACTGAAAAATTAATTCCGAAAAATTGAAAAATCGAAAAATCGCAAGACAGAAATCGAAACAACAAAAAAAAAGAAAAATCTAAAATTTAAAAATTCGAAAAATTGGAAATTTACAAAATCGAAATACGTATTGAGAAATTCCACAATTGAAAAATCCCAAAAATTAAACATTGAAAATTTGAAAATCGAAAAATTGAGAAATCGAGAAATCGGAAAGACGAAAAATTAAAAAATACATTAATCGACAAAATTTAGAAACGCCAAAAATATAGAGAGACCAATTTTATAAAATAAAAGTCAAAATTTGTCGTACATTTTTTTTATGCACTTTATTAACCTTTTAGCCCATTTTTAAAGTTATTTTTTAAAAAGTTGGGGATTTCCAAAGATTTTAAAAATAAACAAATAAAAATAAGAAAAACGTTTCAACGTGCTAAAAGTCGAATTCGGTCGAAGTATAAACATAAACAGTCGAAGTTAAGTGTATACCGAGAAATTTACATGTCTACATTTTTCCCGTTGAGCACTCTATTGAAATAAATATTGAAATAAATTACAATGAGTGAGAAAAGAATATGATAAAAGTATATATCAAAGAGAAAAAAAAAATAACGAACGTCTCTAAATATTAATTAAGGGAAAAGAATACGGACCACTGACATTGAAACTATTTTCAATCAATAAATAAATCGTAATTGAATGTTCGATTCAGATTGGACAATAATCTAATTTTCGAGTGATTATTCGATTATTTTAAACGATTATTTCGATTCATTCGATTAGTGAAATATGTCGATTATGTCCAACACTAGGCTTTTTCTGAGCAGGATTTTTTCAGGTGTCAAGGTTGGGGATAAAGATAATGTTACTAGATCTAGGACGGTGTATTGTTGGTTGCATAGGCGATGGTTCCTTCGGAAAGAAATGGAGCAGTGGCGTCGCGTAAGTAAGAAAATGGGAACACATCGTATGTAAGAAAGTCCTAAAATAGAAAGGGATTTTTTATTTCTATATTTACTATATTTGGTATTAAAATAAATGTGAGTGTCAATAATGTCACTTGATTTGAAATTTACAATGTGAATAAAATAAGTTAATCAAAACTTTATTAATAAAAATGACGTCATCAAGTATCCGGAGACATGAAACAAATTCCCAAACCGTGACAAACCTCGCCACAGACGCAACCTTTGTATCAAGTTACCACGAACATTGAGAAATGCCCCACCCGTACCACTATCATAGTACTACTCATCACAGACATTTAGTTAAAATACCACTCGATCTCTCATAAATCTTCCACACAACAATTCTCTTTGTAAATCTCCCACCAAGCACATCAAAGCCCCATTAATTCGCACACAATACCCCAGAGCCCTGAATCCAAAACGATTTCCGCTCGCGATACCGATCTCCCTTATTCCACGCGAAAAAATGCGAATCATCCAAAAAGAAACACAACAGAACCCAATTACTGTACAACAATAAATCCGCGAAACGGTATTATCGTCGAAGGATACCTTCGCGAGACAAGAAGAGAAAGGTAAGTTAGTACTTTTACCGCAGCTAGCAGCGACTGCATTAGTACCACCCGTCGCACACTCGCTTCGATTTCCAAAAGTAAAAAACCGGAACGTATGTCGATAAGTTTCGATAGACAATCTCACTTGGTCAGCCTCCAAGGCAGTACCGAAGAAGGAACGGACGAGTGAGTACCGCGCGACTTTGATGAAAAACACGCGAGTGGTGTGAGTGATGGTGATCAAGTAGTACCCGAGTGAAGAAAAATGCCCACGCTGAGGATTTAAAACAGACTGCAAAGTGAGTGTGGTACTAGTGAAATAAGTTAGGGAAAAGGGACTGAAAGACACAAAAACTCGTTTAAAATGCAGCAATCATCCGATTTAATATTTCGAAAAGTGGAACACCAGATTACTGTATTTTTTACAGATTAGCTAACCATTTAATGTGGGAATGTGGAAAAACATGATCTCCATAAAAATTAGAGTAAGTGCATGCGTCGAACGGGACTAAATTTGGAGTTTTTGGGGCGTCACAATTCAAATAAGATGATTTGAACACATCCTTTCGATCTATGTCATTTGCATCCGTTTGAAAATTATTCAAGCGAATCTGACCTTTCTTTGGGTTAGAATTTTGGGTGAAGGTAGACTATAGAATAAATTTTAAAAAAGTTGAAAAAAATTACTAACAAGGTTGACAAGAGTTCCCTGCACTGCCTTATTATTCTTCAAGTAGGTGTTGCGTATGTCGATAGAATAATAATTTTTAGAGTTACATAAAAGTCACGTTGTTCAACCTTACATCCTGCAGACGATTCGCCGGAAATAATAACAGAGAAAAGTGAACACCGAAAAATTACCATTGTGAGACACGTAATTATACGCTGCTTGAAATGCAAAACAATAATTAAAAAAATCGTTCGTGAAACCAGTGAAACAAGTCTGTCCCAGTTCGAAGCCTTGCGGAGCTTCACTATTTTTTTTTTTGTTCGACTGTCTATTTAGAAAAATCAATCTTACGATGGTGAAGTGTAAGTTTCACTAATTTAAACATAATTATGCGTTATGCAATTTTTAATGGATGTTCGCTATGTATAATCGTGACTTATTCAATAGAAGATATCCGCAATAGTACATACATGCCTTTTACTACATTTTTTATTACTGTATAAGTGCCTACATGGAAATCTGGACTGCGTGTAAACACGAAACGTTATGTAAACATTCTAAAGAGAGCTGTACTCTCTCATACTTTTTCTGTTTTTAATGGCAAGGTTCATCAAATGAATTCCATAAAATAATTCTCGCCTGGCAGTAGAGACAACAAAAATGCTTTAATTATTTGAAATTTGATTGCATCTTTTCGGTACTCGTGCATCACGACCATCGTGACCGTTTTGGCATTTATCCCCCATAGCAGCACCTCCACCCATAACACTACGCAATCAATCAGCCTTAATGCTAACACCTCATTTCGTAACTCCTTAGTACACACATGTGAAAAAAATTTACATACAGGTGTGCATACAGCTATTAGTACTACAAGTGCGAATTTTGCTATTACATGGTAGACGAAGTAACCGTAAGAACGGGTACAGTTATGTTGTACAAAAAGCTACTCTTCGGTTGGCACAGTGTTATAATTAAATTACCCTATATTTTGTGGGTAAGTGTTGCCAACCGTCTATAATCAAACAGGTACTGATTTGTGAAACCACAGTCATCTCGATGGTTTTTTAAGAATAGTTGTGGTTGAAAGTGTACCAAAGAACTGAGGATGTAAGAGGTTACTGGAGGATGTTGAAAAAGACTTGTTAACGATATGTCGTGCGAAAGCTGCTTGTGTATAATTGAGTGCGTGGTTTTTTCCGGTAATGGAAGAATGGTAGAGTTTAGGTAAAAGCGGTTGGTATGGAATTTGGATGATGGGTAACAATCACATAATTTTCCAAATGGTGACCTTGGAAGGATATGTAGTTATTATGTTTATTTCTTCAAGCGCGTAAAACCCAAACCCGTTTTCACTTTGGAATTGTTTTGGAAATTATTAGGCGATGATTCACTCATCTTCGTTTACATTTTCCTTCAAATGTGAAAAAAAATAATGGTTCTTGCAGTCAAATTTTTTTTATTTTTTCCGGGTTTCAAGTGGCCTCCATTTTTTGTTTCTTCGCTCTCATTCAGAGCAGGCAAGATATATAATTGGTCCAAAGTATTTCTAACACTTATATTGCAAAACTTCCCGGACAAGCCTTACAATTATTGACCAGTGTTATTAATTCTTACTTCCTTTGTAAATTCCTCGGGTTAACGATATTAAGAGAACGTTACTACTTTTAAGTTTTCTCGACGTTTCATGACCACTAGAATACGAAAAAATAGGTCTCCTGTTTAACGTTTGAAGGCTTATCCCCTCCCAAAAAGCTAGTGACGTCATCTGAAAATTTTGCCAAATAAATCCCGTCTTAAATAAACTTATACAGGGTGACTCAAAAAAATAGCAAATTTAATTCAATAATTTCGAATAAAACTTGTTACACAATATAACATTGGAAATTAAATGCTGTATTTATCAGAGATACGGGTGTCCCAAAATTCGAATTTCGATGCTACAAAATTACGATATTTATAAAAACGGCACTCCAAAAAACACATTCTGAACTTCTCTGAATTGAAAAGTATGTCAAATTAAAAAAAAAGCGGTTTTAAGGAACTGGTTTGGACGCACATCTTGGTGTTTTTTATGTTTGTATACTGTTTACAAATTAGTATAAAATTAACAACATCCAGACATAATTAAGTGGAAGTGGAAAAACAGAAAAATCCAAAAACTGCGAAATTAAAAAATCGAAATATTCCAAAATCGTAAAATTGAAGAGAAAAATTGAAAAAAGGTAAAACGGAAAATTGAGAAATCGAAAAGCCAAAAAAGAGAAGTCGAAAACCCAAAGCTTTAAAAAATTGAAAAATCAAAAACCTAAAAATTGAAAAATTGCAAAAACCATTTTCGGCTTTTCGATTTTCCAGTTTTCCGATGCTTCGATTTTCAATGATCCGAAAAACCAAATAATAACATCGAAAAATCGAAAAATTTAAAAATAAAAATGAAAAAAATCGAAATTTTGAAAAAACGAAATATGGAGAAACAGAAAATCTAAAAGTGGGAAGTCGAAAAATGTAAAATTTTTAAAATTGAAAAATTAAACTATCAAAAAATTTAAAAATCGAAAAAGTAAAAAAATCGACGCATCAAAACATCTACAAGTCAAAAATCGAAAATTGAGTATTCGAAATATTGAAAAATCCCAAACCTGAAATATTGAAAAACTTAAGAATGGAAAAACGGAAAAATCAAAAACTTGAAAAAAAGAAGAACTGAAGAACAGGAAAATCGAAACAGTCGAAAGTCAAGAAATGGGAAAATCAAAGCCTCATCGATTGATTGAAAACGCGAAAAATTGAGAGTTTAGAAAAGTCAAAAATTGGGAAATCGAAAAACTGAAATTTCGAAAAATTGAAGAATGAAAGAAAAACTAAAAATTAAAAAAAAAATGAAAAATAAATTGAAAAATCAAAAACCTAAAAATTTCAAAAATTGAAGAAATGCAAAATCGAAAACAGTCAAAGTCAAATTTGAAAAATTGCAAAAACCAAACATTTAAAAATCGTAAAATTGAAGAGGAAAAAAATTGGAAAAACATAAAATTGAAACATCGGAAAAATAACAAATCGTGAAATTGAAAAATCGAAACTTTAAAAAATAGAAAAATCGAAAAATCAGAAACTTGAAAAATTGAAGAACTAGAAAATCGAAACAGTTGAAAGTCAAGAAATGGGAAAATCAAAATATCGATTTATTGAAAAATCGAAAAATTGAGAATTTAGAAAAGTCAAAAACTGAAAAATTAAAAAAGAAGAGAAATTGAAAATACGTTAAATTGAAACATCAGAAAATTGAGAAACCGAAAAATTGAAAATCGTGTAACTGAAAAATTGAGAAATTGAAAAATAGAAAAATTGAAAAACAAATAATCTGAAAAATCCTAAACCTGAAATTTCGAAAAATTAAAAATGAAAGAAAAACTGAAAAATCCAAAAATTGCGAAATTAAAAAATTGAAAAATCGAAAAATTGAGAATTTAGAAAACTCAAAAATTGAAAAACTGAAAAATCTAAATATTTAAAAATCGTAAAATTGAAGAGAAAAATTGAAAAAACCTAAAACTGAAACATCGGAAAATTGTGAAATTGAAAATCGAGAGATTGAAAAGTTGAGAAATTGTAAAATCGAAAAATTGAACAATAAATAATCTAAAAATTCCAAAACTGAAATTTCTAGAAATTTAAAAATGAAAGAAAAACTGAAGAATGAAAAAATTCAAAACCCGAGAAATTAAAAAAAAAATGAAAAATTGAGAAATCAAAAAGTCAAAAAGGAGAAGTCGAAAACCCAAAACTTTAAAAAACTGAAAAATCAAAAACCTAAAAATTGAAAAATTGTAAAAACCAAATATTTAGAAATCGTTAAATTGAAGAGGAGAAAATTTGGAAAATCGAAAAATGAACAATTTAAAAAATCAAAAATTTGAAAAAATGAAAAATTCAAAAATCTAAAATTAAAAAACCGAAAAACGAAAAATCGAGTAATCAGAACGTCTAAATTTAAAAATCGAAAAATTGAAAAATCGGATAATTGAAAATTGAAAAACCAAATCGTAACATTAAAAATCGAAAAATTTAAAAATGAAAAATGAAAAAATCGAAATTTTAAAAAAACAAAATATGGAGAAACAGAAAATCTAGATTTGGGAAATCGAAAAATCGACACATTTGAAAAATTGAAAAATCGAAGAACTGAAATGAAAAATCGAGAAATCGAAAAATGTAAAATTTTTAAAATTGAAAAATTAAGCTATCAAAAGATTTAAAAATCGAAAAAGTAAAAAAATCGACGCATCAAAAAATCTACAAGTCAAAAATCGAAAATTGAGTATTCGAAATATTGAAAAATCCCAAACCTGAAATATTGAAAAACTTAAGAATGGAAAACCTGAAAAATCAAAAACTTGAGAAAATGAAGAATTGAAGAACAGGAAAATCGAAACAGTCGAAAGTCAAAAAATGGGAAAATCAAAGCCTCATCGATTGATTGAAAAATCGAAAAATTGAGAGTTTAGAAACGTCAAAAATTGGGAAATCGTACTTAAAATCGAAAAGCTGAATAATAATCTGGAAAATCCCAAAACTGAAATTTCGAAAAATTGAAAAATGAAAGAAAAACTAAAAATGAAAAAAAAA